AGTAGAATGCTGAGTTAAGTTGAAATACCAGCCAGGTGCTGTGGCATATGCCAATAAACCCAACTGTAGGGTAGAAAAGACAAAAAAACAACTGGGGCAGGAAACCGACCAATCACTGAGCACCTGACTCTGAACCCAGGGCCAGTGAAAGAAACACACCCTGTGTTTGAGACCTGAGCCGGGAAAGAAACATCTTTATCCCTGAACTCAGAACTAAAGACGTGTGCCCTGGCTCTGAAACTAGTGTCAAAGAGACATACTTAGTCCTTAGAATCAGAGCCAGTGAAAGAAATGTGCCCTGGTCCTAAGATTAGAGTCCAAAAGCTAAAAAGGACCAGTGAAAGAAACACAGTTTGGCCATGAAGGCAGAGCCACCTCTGCCCTGACCAGTTAAACTGGCCAATCCCTGAGCAGGGAAAAATTAACCAATCCCCTTTCTTCCTGGAAAAACTCCACTTCCTAAGAAGCCCTATATAAGCATCTTCACCCCTTCGGGTGAGAGCTGCCACTAAGTGGCCTGTGCAGTCAGTCCACTCTCCCGGACTCCTCCTTCCCTTCCCAAGTAAATCTCTTTCTCAAAAGAGTCTTGAGTGACGATCTTCATTCACCGCTTTGTCCAGGGCTGAGCTGTCCCATTGCAGCTCTGGCCTCCAGAGCTTGTCTTATTGTAGCTCTACCACTCCAGAGCTACCCTATTGTGGCCCTACATATATTCTCACTTCCTGATAAGTCAGGACATCCCAATACAACTACTGTACCACATTCCCCTACACCAACTACTTGGAAGGGTGGGACAGAGGGATGGCAAGATCAAAGCAAGTTTAGGCAACATGACAGACCATACATCTAAAAGACAGGGTTAAGCCACTCAAGAACAGAACAACTTATTTAAGCAGTTCTAAGATGAATCAGACATGATGGCATGTGCCTGTAAATCAATAAATGGTTTAAACCATTCATAATTCCAGTTCCAGAGGATCTAATACTTGCTACTCTGACCTCCGAGGGCATCAAGGGCACATATGGTACACATGGGCAAAACACTACACATAAAATGAGATAAGCCAGGTAGGTTCAGCACTTGGGAGGCAGAGGCAGGCAGATCTAAATTTAAGGCCAGTCTGCAGGAAGGTTACAGCTAGTAATTACCCGCCTACTGGGGTGTGGCCTCATATACTATTTACCCAGATGCTGAAGAGTGTCCAGTCCTTATCTCCTCCACCCTGGTCCTCATTTGCTCATTTGGATTATTTTGGATCCCATCTCCATCCACTGTTCAAGCAGAGAATCCTGATTTGTAAGTTTTCCCACTAAACAAATATCTATCTCTCAGTTCTGAGCTAGTGTGGGATTTCTTTTAAGCGTCCAATCTCTCCGCCACCAGTCTACAGAGTGAGTTCTAGGACAGTCACAGCTATACTTAGAAACCCTGTATCAAAAAAACAAAATAATAAACAAAATTAAAAGTAAATAAATCTTTATTTGAGATAGGGCTTTATAGTGTAGCCCTGGCTGTACTGGAACTTAGACCAGGCTGGCTCAAACTCACAGAGATCTGCCTGATTCTGCCTTCCAAGTGCTAGGATTAAGAAATCTTTAAAAGTTTTTAAGAGGCCTGGCACTGATGGTGAACACCTTTAATCCCAGCACTTGGGAGGCCGAGACAGGCGGATCTCTGAGTTTGAGGCCAGCCTGATCTACAGAAAGCATCCCAGGACAGTCAGGGCTGTTATATGGAGGAACCCTATTTTGAAAAAAAAAATCTTGAGAGGGGAAAGGAGGGGTGCTATAGTGATGCCTCAGTAGTTAAAAGCATTTACTGTTCTTGCAGAGGACCCAGGTTTGGTTCCCCAGTACTCTGCCTCTGCCTCCCAAGTACTGAGATTAAAGCCATGTACCACCATGCCCAGAAATTTTTCAGTTTTCATAAAGCTGGGTATGCTCACACCTGCAATCCCAGCATTGGGGAGTGAAGCCAGGAGAATCACTGAGGCTTGCTGACAATCAGTCTAGCTCGGGTTCAGTGACAGACCTTGTTTTTAGGGAGTAAGTGAAAAGCAGTAGAGCAGGACATCCAATGGCATCTACACAAACATAGGTACATGCCCGCTCACATATGTAATTAAAACATGATGGCCCAGCAGTAAAGAGTATGGGCTGCCCTTCCAGAGGACCTGGGTTTGATTTCTAGCACCCATGTGTTTGTTCACAACCACCTGTAATTCCAATTTCGGGGGATCTGATATTCACTTCTGGCTTCCACAGGCATACACATGCACAGTACACAGATATACATGCAGGAAAAACACCTGAACACATAAAAATAAATTTATGGAATTTAAAACCTAGGTTAAATCCCTAGAACTACAAGTCAGATTCAGTAGCATGCACCTGCCATATCCAGTCAGGAGACTGAGGCAGGAGAATTGTAAGCAGTAAGGACCTGTCTTGAAATAAAAAGGGACTGGAAATATAGCTCAGTGTTATAGAGTGCTTAAGTAGCATGCACAGAGCCTGGCTTTAATCTTCAGTACTGAAAAAAAATGTATGCCCAGCGGTGGTGAACACTTTTAATAACAGCACTTGGAGGCAGAGGCAGGAGGATCTCTGAATTGGAGGTCAGCCTGGTCTACATAGTGAGTTCCAGGACAGCCAAGGCTACATAGAGAAACCTTGTCTTGAAAAAAATAAAATGCAAGCCATATGTGCACTCAGAGAAGGCTAAGACAGAATTTCTTGGGCCAAGGGGTTTGGGACAGTTTGGGCAATAGAGCAAGACCCAATTTCTTTTTCTTCTTTCTCCCCCCCCTTTTTTTGAGGTGGGGGTTAGAGACAGGGTTTCTCTGGGTTTTTTGTTTTGTTTTGTTTTGTTTTGTTTTTCGAGATAGGGTTTCTCTGTAGCTATGGAGCTAGTACTGGAACTTGCTCTGTAGACCAGGCTGGCCTTGAACTCACAGAGATCCACCTGCCGCTGCCTTCTGAGTGCTGGGATTAAAGGCGTGCACCACCACTGCCCAGCTTTGTTGTTTTTTTTGAAACAAAACACCACTCATCTTTTTCTTGGTTTTTTTTAAAAAATTATTTATTTATTAAGTATACAGTGTTCAGCTTGCATGTATCCATGCACACCAGAAGACACCAGATCTCATTATGTGTGCAACCATGTGTGTGTCACCATGTAGTTGCTGGGAATTGAACTTGGAACCTCTGGAAGAGCAGGCAGTGCTCTTAATTGCTGAGCCATCTCTCCAGTCCTGTTTTGTTTTTAAAACAAAAATTTAAATATATTTTATAACAAAATTTCTCACATTCATTTAGTGCACGTGAGTGTGTGTTTGCATGCATAGCCACAGTGCACATGTTGAAATCAAAGGGCAACGTTTGGGTTCTGGGCATCAAACTCAGGTAGTCAGGCTTGGCAGAAAATGCCTTCGTCCACTGAGCCATCTTACTGGCTCTCTATTTTGGCATTGCTTTGTTTTGTTTTTGAGACAACTTTACTATATAGCTGTGGCTGGCCTTGCACACAAGGTAATATTCCTGATTCAGTCTCCCAAGTACTAGGATTATAAGTGTACAACCCTATGCCCACCTAGCTCAGACCCAGTTTCTTTTGTCTTTTATTTTATATGTATGTTTGGGTGGTATGTGTTTATACGCGTTTCTCTGCATAGGAAGGTACACATACATGTGGAGTCAAAGATTAATATCAGGTATTTTGATCTGTTGCTTTGCACCTTTATTTTTTGAGATAGGGTTTCTCACCACACCTGAAACTGATTCAGCTAGACTGGCTGACCCGTGAGCCCCAGGGCTCATTAATGTCCACCTCCTCCCCAGTAATGGGGTTACAGATACATGGTGCTGTGATCAGCTTTTACACTAATACCCTTGACCCACTGAGCCATATCCCTAGATCCCAGATCCCGTTTCTTTTAAAAATGTGTCAATGTGGTAGTGTGCACACCTTTAATCCCAGGATTTGGGAGGCAGAGGTAGACAGATCTCTGAGTTTGAGGCCAGCCTGGTCTATAGCATGAGTTTCATGACAGCCAGGCAGAAAAATCCTATCTCAAAAAACAAAACAATAACAAAAAGTGGCACACTGCATTTCTATATACTGGCAATGAAAATTACAACCCCCCTGGGGGGTGATCTAATGCTCTATTCTTATTTCCATGGAAACTTCAGGCACATGGACACATACATAAATACAAGCACACAAGTAAATGCAGACACACATACATACACATAAAATATTAAAAATAAGACAAATAGTCAGGTGGTAGTGGTGGTGCATGCCTTTGATCCCAGCACTCAGGAGGCAGAGGCAGAAGGATCTCTGTGAGTTCAAGACCAGCATGGTCTACATAGCAAGTTCCAGGACAGTCAGGGCTACATACACAGACCCTGTCTCAAAAACATGTTATAAAACTCACCCTAATAGTCATATAGGATCTGAAAGAACCTCAAGGAGTCAACATAATAGTAAAACAAAACAAAAATGGGGGGCTGGAGAGATGGCTCAGAGGTTAAGAGCACTGACTGCTCTTCCTGAGGTCCCGAGTTCAATTCCCAGCAACCACATGGTGGCTCACAGTCATCTATAATGAGATTCGGTGCCCTCTTCTGGCCTGCAAGCATACATGGAAGGAAAGTTGTATACATAATAAATAAATCTTTTTAAAAAATGGGTTGAAGAGATGGCTTAGAGGTTAAGAGCACTGGTAGCTAGAGGTCCTGAGTTCAATTCCCAGCAACCCCATGGTGACTCAAAGCAATCTATAATGAGATATGGCACCCTCTTCTGCCACATAGGCATACATGCAGGCAGAACACTGTTTACATAATAAATAGATCTTTAAAAAATTGTCAGAGAACTCAAACTTCTGGATTTCTTTTTTTTAAACTTTATTTAACTTTATTTCATGCATATTGGTATAATGATGTCAGATTCTCTTGAAGTGGATTTACAGACAGCTGTGAGCTGCCATGTGGGTGCTGGGAATTGAACCCAGGTCCTCTGGAGGAGCAGTCAGTCAGTGCTCTTAACCACTGAGCCATCTCACCAGCCCCCTCAAACTTCTGGATTTCAAAAGTCTCTGCAAAGCTTTAGTGTAACTGGAGGTTTCTCTCCCGCCCGTCAGTTTCCGAATAACCACTCTGAGGCTTAATATTAATTACAAACTGTTTGGCCTATTAGTTCAAGTTTATTATTAACTTGCTCTCACAACTTAAGTTAACCCATTTCTATTTTATATTTACCACAAGGTTTGTGACTTGTCACCTCACATTTTGCTTCTCCAGCAGCTATTGGCATCTCCCTCGACTCTGCCTTCTTTCTCCCTGTATTCAGTTTGACTTTCCGGCCTGTCAAAGGCCAAAGCAGCTTCTTTATTAACCAATGGTAATAAAACATATTCACAGTACACAGAGGGAATCCCACATCACTTCAGTAATGAAAACTGTGGTCCTGGTGCTGGGGTTGCAGCTCAGTGCTTTACATGTGAAATATCCATGCTACAAAAGCACTCCATCACTGAGTTACATACATGCTCAGGCTTCTTAACCATTTTGAAATGTACAGCACACCACTGTTTACTACATTCAACAGACAATATAATTCATCTCAAAGAAAATTAAACTTATTCATTCTAATTGAGACATCAGACCTTTGCCTATCATCTCCCCATTTCCTCTACCCCTCTCAGCATCTACTTATCACCATTCTGCTCCCTGCTTCATTGAATTTAATTATAATTGAGAAAATACAGTAATTGCAGCACTATTCACAATAGCCAAATTGTAGAGATCAGTCTAAGCATACATAAACAGATGAATAGATAAGGGAAAAGATAATTTATGTGCACAGAATGAAACACTACTTAGGTTTTAAAAAGAAACCTTGGGGCCAGTGAGATGGTTCAGAGGGTAAATGTACTTGCTGACAAATCAGATAATGCAATCCCTTGGACCCATTTGGTGGGAAGTGAGAACCAATTCCTGCAAATTATCCTATGACCTCCATATGCACATTGTAACAAACACACATGTACACATGCACATACACAAAATACATGTAAAAAATTTAAAGAAACTTTGTTATTTGGAAATAGTTCCGAAGGTAGAAGTAGAGAACATGAATCAACCTTGAAACATGCTAAGTGAATGAAGTCAGATACAAAAGGACAAGTGGGGTAGGATTCCCTCTCATGAGCAAACTCATTGGCACTTACATAGGCAAACTCAGTAGTAAGCAATATTTAATATTTATATACTTCAAATTACTAAAACAGTACACTGCCTGAAAAAACTCTTTTTTATAAAAGAAATACAGAATGAGTTTGGTGGATCTCTGTAAGTGGAGAGAGGTGGGGAAGAAAAGGGGAGAGCAATTCAGGAAATATTTCAACTCATATGATAAAGATCATCCTTAGAATTTTCCCAATGATGTTTTTTTTAGTAAACAACTGGACAGCGGCCACGAATGGCATATATACTCATACAGGAATGAAATATACATAGCTTTTTGTTGAGACAGGATCTCTCTATCATGTAACTCTCACTGTCCTGGAACTCACTCTGTAGAGCAGGCTGGCCTCAAACTCACAGAGATCCACCTGCCTCTGCCTCCCGAGTGCTGGGATTTAAAGTGTATCACCACGTCCAGCCAGCTTTTAGTTTTAAAAAGCCAGTCTCACTGTATAGTTGTGCCTGACCTAGAACTCACTATGTAGACCAAACAGGCCTCAAACTCGTAAAGATGCAACTATTTCTGCCTTGCAAGTGCTAGGATTAAAGGTGTATCACCATGCCTAGCATATAGGATTTTAAGTAGGTGACATGTGGAGAGAAGAGGAAACCCTGAGTGTGTGAAGTCCTGAGTGGAGTGTGTTGCTACCATGAGCTGGCCATGTCAAGGACTCTAGTCTCAGACAAATGGTCGAGCCTTTCTCCTGGGTAAGGTTCAGTGGGATAGCAAAGCCTTTCTCTTGCTTAAGTACAAATGTTGATACTGTGTGCGGAACATGTCCACTGGAGCTTTCTCCCCTAGATACTTATGACTGAAGACTGCTCCCCTACAGAACGTGCTCCTAACCCAAGATTAGTTAACCTGCCTCCTTATGCAGCTGTATGTAATAGCCTACCTCCAGTTCAACTGTATATAATAAATGCACCGAACTTCCAGGATGCTGCAGTTTCTCCACCCGAGAGCTTAGTGGTCCACCAGATCCCAGCTTTTTCATGTATCCCTGTGTTTCTCCTTTCTTCATTTTCCTGCAGCCCCTGTTAGGCCAATCCCTGGAGCAATGAAAGATGTGGCAGTGAAAAACACAAACCTGATTTTACTGAGATTATAAATTAAATACAAAAGATCATAAATTAAACACAAAGCAAGACAAAAACTTTTATTACAAAAATGGTAATATCAGGGATCGCTGAGGAAGAGGGCACAGAAAGACCTTAAGAGCCAGAAGTGGGAGATTTTTTTCAAGGAAGCATTTCACTGCACATAGAACTCACAGTGACGGGGACTGCATGCACAAGACCTTTGAAAGTTCAGACCAAAGTCCCAGCAACTGATTGGTGTTTACAGTCCTGGGCATCAAGTCCCACCCCTGAGGTGTTATTGGCATTCAAGAACTGCTGGCAAGGGAGAGTCAGTGTCCTTTTAAGAGTGTCACCTCTGGTAGGGCCACCATACTCCAGGAAACGCCCCCAACCCAACAAGACTATTTGGGCAACACAAACTGGGCTACATGGTTGGGTAGAGAGGTGGGGGTGAGTGTTGGAGGAAGTGGGTGAGGGGTGAATATGATCAAAACACATTGTATGAAATTCTCACAGAATAAAAGTACTTTTGAATGGTAATATCAGAAAATATACTAATACATTATTTTGGTAAGAATATAGAGAAACACCCTCCTGTTCTATTGTTCAACTGTTGGTATAAGTTCTAGAAAGGCAACTTGTCAAAAATTTTAGCAGTACACATTCTTACTGGGCATGGTGCCACATGCCTTTAGTCTCAGCACTCAGGAGGCCAGCCTGGTCTACGTAAGAGTGTTCCAGGACAGCCAGGGATACACAGAGAAACCCTGTCTCAAAAAACAAAACAAAAAAAAGCACGCATCCTTTTAAAATTAGCAAGTTACAAAAAACCCAATTCCAATAGGTTTCAACACTAAAGAGAATTTCTCGGTTCATTTACTTGCAAGCTTCAGAGGAGCAGGTATTATGCTGGTTTGATTTCATAGATAACAATATCAAAGACCTAATTTCCTTCCTTCAGCCTTCCAAAGTATATGGACTTCATTTTAAATTTGATTTATTTCTTGGTAGCAAAAGGAATGAAGTACCTGGAGGCAGTCATACCACACTGTCTAAAAGAAAAGAAGAAAAAAAACATAAAAATATTCTACCCACAAAACCTTCAGCAAATCTCCTCAATCATTTTATTGGTTTTCTGGTGCACTCCCAATCAATCCCCTTGAACAGGAAAAATGGAGTCATGGGGGTAAGCCTGAGTCACCTGAACCAATCTATAAGGCTTACAGGCATGATTGGGTTTCACCCATGGTACACCACTCTAGAAGCTGGTGAAATCAATTCTGCCTCTCCACTCCCAATGTTATGAGTACTAAAGATGAGGAAGATGTGGGATGAACTGCCAAGGAATGATATCATCATCTACCATGTGATATCCAGCAATACCACTAGGATTTACCCTGCATTATACTGCACATGTGCACAAATAAGTGTGTTCAAGGGGTTTTGCACGTTAGGAAACTGCAAATAACTGAAATGTTGAGGGCTGGTTAAAGTACGACATAGACATATAGAAAAATAAGGCACTGTGTATATATATTGGTATAATACAATCTTAGAGATGTATTAGTGAAGAATAGAATAATAGTGTGTGACTAGTTCTGGGAAAAAAAGGAAGAGATATTGATACATTCCAAGTAAAAAAAGAAAGTAAGCTTCTGTTTTTAGCAATAAGCCAGACTAGATATATAAACACACGCACCAGCAGGCATGGTGGCACAAGCTGTAACACCAGCACTCTTCAGTTTGATGCTATCTTGGGTTATATAGTGAGTTTCAAGTCATCAAAGGCTAAACAGTGAGACTCCTTTTCAAAAAAACACAAAAACCGAGGCTGGAGAGATGGCTCAGCGGTTAAGAGCACTGACTACTCTTCCAGAGGACCCAGGTTCAATTCCCAGCACCCACATGTCGGCTCACAACTGTCTGAAGATCCAGTTTCAGGGGATCTGACACCTTCACACCAATGCACATAAAATAAAGTTAAATAAACCATAAGAAATATTTAAAAAAAAACACAAAAACCATTAGCAATAGAAGCTGCATCTGAAAAGACAATCAGGGAATTGGAGTAATATATAAAAAAGTATGTGTGTGTGTGCATGTACATGTTTCTTGTGCTTGTTTTTTCTCTATGTCCATTTGCTTTATTTCATTTTTTTAATAATTTATTTAATGTGCACTGGTGTGATGGTATCAGATTCCCTGGAACTGAGTTACAGACAGGAATGAGTTGCATGTGGGTGCTGGGAATTGAACCTGGGTCCTCTGGAAGGGCAGCTGAATCATCTCTCCAGCCTCCTGGTTTGTTTTTTATTGGCTTATTTATTTTCAAAAGAGAGAAAGAAGGTGTGAAGGTGTGGAGTTGGATGGGTGGGGAGGCGGAGAGAGTCTGGGAGGAGATGAGGGAGGGAAAACTGTGATCTGAATATATTGTATGAAAACAAATCTTTGGTTTTTTTGTTTTTCAAGATGGAGGTCTGTGTAGCCCGGGCTGTTTTGAAACTAGCTAGGCTGATTTTGAACTCAGACATCCACTGGCCTTTGCCTCCCAAGTGCTGGGACTAAACGTATGCATCATTATGCTTGCCTATAAACAAATTTGCAGCTAAAAAAACAACCCTACATAGCGAGTTCCAGGATAGCCAGGACAGTTACACGGAGAAACCCTGTCTCAAACAAATGAAACAAGAAAAAAAAAAAAACAAACAAAAACCAACCTAAGTGTCTATCAATAGGGGAACAACCAGTGTATAAAATATCCACATAATAAAGTACTATGCAACACAGACTGAGTATCAGAGATTTCTACATATTGACAAGAAATACCTTCAAGGATTATATGTGGAGGCTCGGTGTAGTCAGTGATAGAGCACTTAAGGGCCTGGCTTTGATCCCTAGTTCCACATAGTGGATTATACAAAGATGATATAGTTAGTGGTTACACAAGTTACAGAACACTATTACAAAATGACTGCAGGCTGGGGATGCAGCTCAGTGACAGAGCGAATGCTTAGCATGCACAAAAGTCTGGGTTCAATATCCAGCATCAAAACATTTTTTTATTCAAAATTATCCAGAAAGAAAAAAATAAACTTTGCATATTAGGAATTGTGAGTATTTGTTCAGACATTTTCTATGTCTCTAAAGCAGTGACTTTCCACCTTCCTAATGCTGCGAGCCTTTAATACAGTTTTTTACGTTGTGGTGACCCCAACCATACAATTATTTTTGTTGCTATTTCATAACTATAATTTCATTACTATTATGAATTATAAATATCACATATGCAGGATACCCGCTATGCAAACCCCATGTTGAAAAAACACTGCTCTAATGTTCTAGTGTATATTTGAAATGCCTAGAAAATAGATGAATCACGGACCACAGTGACACATGCCTGTAATTAAAAAGAGGCTGGAGGATCACTACAAGTTCATCAAGGGCTACATACAGCCAAATGCTGTTTCACACTTCTCCACTTGTACCTCAAAAGGAAAAAGGAAATTGATAGATGACTGAGTCTACCAAACTGCTAAATGTGACTTTCTCTGAAGAATAAATTGGAGGAAACAAAATTTTCATTTTCATTTAACTCATTTCTGTAAACTTGTTCCATTTTAGAAATGAAGGAATCTTATATGAAAATATTAATACTATCAGACACGGTGGAACATACTTTTAACTCCAGCACTGAGAACAAGGGGACAGGAAAATTAGGAGTTCAAGGCCAGAATCTGCTTTGTGAGACCTTCTAAGTTTTTATTTTAACTTCATTGATTTACTTTGGATCTATATGTGTGTGTACATGTGGGTATGTGTATGCGACTATCGTGGTGGCTCCATTTCCAGGGGATTGTGATAATCTTCTAACCTCCAAGGGCCCCAGGCATACACATAGTGCACAGATGTACATGGGAGCAAAACACTCATATACACTAAATAAGTCTAAATAAATGAATAAAGTTCGCTATTTTAAAATAGCACAATGATGCAGGTAATGCTCAGACCTATTTTGAGTGGTGACTTTTCTCACAAACTCCAATATTGCATTTACCACTAAGTATCTCCTTGCTTTTCTATTCCTACATGTCAATTTTCTCAAACTCATTTCTAAAATAACATTTTCACAATAATATTCAAATAAAATTAGTTCCCATTCATTGCTTTGCTATGCTTTTTTTGTTTGTTTTTATTTTTTGAGACAGGGCCTCTCTATTATGTAGCTCTGGCTGTCCTGGAACTCACTAGATAGACCAGGCTGGCCTCAGACTCACTGTCTCAGCTTGCAGAATGCTGAAACTAAAGGCATGTGCCACCACATCCAGCTTGTTTTCCTATGTCTTCTAAGGTCCTAGTTTTCAGGGCTCAAGATGAACTCAGTGGGATTACTTGCTTAGAACATGCAAGACCCTGGTTTAAATTTGAGGCATAAGAAGCTTGAGAAATGGCTCAGCAGTTAAAAGAATCCTGGATACTCTTGTAGTGAAACCAGGTTTGATCCCCAACATCTACATGATGGTTCACAGCTGTCTGTAATTCCAGCTCCAGGGGGTCTAACACCCTCCTCTGGCCTCTGCTGGTATTAAGTATGCACGTGGTCCACAGACATAGGTGCAGGCGAAACATTAATACACATAAAATAAATATTGAAAAGAAATTTTAAAGTCTTTTAAAAACAATCCCAAGCATAAGAAAGAGTATTAGCCTTCTACTTACTACTTCAACTTAAAATCTCAGAAACATTTTATATATTTTTTCATCCTATCACAAAAATGTCATCTTCCAGAGCTGGGGAGATGGTTCAGCAGACAAAAGCATTCATCCTTCAAACCTAAAGACCTGAGTTTGGTCCCCAAGACCCACAAGCTGGACACTGAAACCTGAGTCCACAAAGGTGTCCTTTGGACTCCACATGCGAGCCATGGTGTTGACATGACAGTGCATGTGGGTGCACACACACATACAGCTCC